AAAAAAAAAAAAAAAAAAAAAAAAAAAAAAAAAAAAAAAAACAACAACAAGAAAACAAACAAAAAAACAAGAAAAAAGTGCGAAGAAAACTTCGGTCATCGTCCGGAGCGTCGAGGGGATGACGTTTCATGTCCACCATCACCTCGGTAGTCGCTTAAGCACAACATGCATCATCGGCGCAAGCTCAGAATTTACACAGATCTAACGCTCCGTAGACGCAGCACCAAAACAGTATGCGGCATTCCGCAACATACCGCGCGAGTGCAAGTCTTCAGGGGCCTCACGACTCGCCCTCCTTTTTATTTTTCATATATTTACTCTCTTTTTTTTCGTTCTCTCGTGAGGGGATCCTGATGTACGGAGATTAGAGTCGGCAGTTTCCTCACCGAGCTCGCATCGAAGCACGTTCGCATTTTTCAACAATTTTACAATTTTTTTAATAGAGATAACAATGTGGTTGATTTTTTTCATAATAAAATTTTACCAAAATGTCAATTTAAATGTTTTTTTTTTAAATTTAAAACAATCTTTTTTCAGAGAAAGCAAATAAGTTACTTAAAGTACAAGAAATGTGACAACGTAAGTTTAAGTATAATGCGAGCGTGTGTTTCGAAACGTAAGCGCAGCCGACGAGTGGATACCGATCACGACGAAGGCGAAAGCTCACCTTTCGTCCGATCGCGAGTCCACGAATTTCGTCGGCCGAGAAATTGCCAAGGGGAAAAAGGAGTGAGTGTACGTTAAATCATATTCGGTATTCTTGTCAGCCGCGTTTGACGCACGTCTTGACAAAATGCACAGTTTTGCAGAGATCGTTTCGGCAATGACAGAAACGTGGCTGACAATCGGAGAAAAAAAAGGTAAGCGATCTATAAATACATTACGAGGCGTAAGCTCTGGTACGAACAACATTGCAACGAACGACAGTGGAAAGCAAAAAAATTAAGAGAAAACAAAGACAGAGTCTCTAGACTTTCTTACGCGGTTCGATTTTAAGACAACGCCCGGTTTGTGTATCATCATCCGAAAACAACACGAGAAGATCGGTGCGTTATTTCGAGAAATGCAACCCCTTCGGCACCAAGTTAGTTAATTTAGACAATTATTTTCGAAAAAGAAAATTTGGTCCGATTAACAATTTTTATAATTAAGTTTTAGTACTACATTAATATTAAATTTCTCTCTGCGAATTGTATAGAAAGTTTTTAGCGTTGTTTACATTTTTTTCTGCAATTTTGTAGTTCTTTGTTTTTGTGATGTGATTTATGTTATCGCGAAGATTTCAGTTGTAAAATGCATCGCGATGTAAAAGTTTCCACGATGATCTGCGCACACACAACAGAGGCTTCGGTAATGACACCAACACGTGGCATCGTCGGCTCATCGAGATTTCAGCGACGGCACTGTGTGCGATCGCCGATATGGTGTCCAGTGTGTGCTTTAATCACGACGGGACATACACGACGTCGCTAATGCCGAAGGGGAGATTTAACGCGCGAGCGATATATCTCGTATCGTTGCGGGTTTAAATACACGCGTCGCGCCGGTCGGATTATTCCGCCCGACCGGAGAATCTTCGTCTCTCGAGTGAACAAAAAACCAAAAACAGCGGGACTCTTTTTTGTTAAAAATAAAGATGAAAGACAGGAGCTAGAGCTCTAAGCGCGCTCGGCAGTGTATTCACAATCGCAGTAAACTGTAACTCGTAACTTAAACATACGACACTACAGTGGGGGGATATCTCCGGAAAATGGCCTGAACGCGCCGCCGTTTTCGCGGTCGCCTCTGAACTTCACCGCGTCGCGAAATCGCGACATTACTCATAGCAATGCGGCCGCGGTCGTTTACGCAGGCGTTAGACGTACGCTCTGGATCTCTCTCTCTCTCTCTCTCTCTCTCTGTTTGGAAAGTTCGTCCCGATCGAGCACGAAAGCTGCGGGCAAGTACGGGGCAAACACCAGTTTGGAAATCTACGAGATTAGCGTGAGATTATATCCGACTGCGCTAACGACTAGTTTCTTGCGTCTCGCTTAACGACGTTGGAAATTTGCCAAATAGCGCGATCGCGTTAAACCGACTCGATAAATTCGACTAACTATCGTCGCGATATATACGTAATCGCGTGGTCGTGTACGAAATGTCAATGTAACTTGCGACTTACGAGACACAATGCAAGTGTCTCCTAAATTAATTAATGTAAATTAATTTTTTCTTCTCCCGTGAACGCCCGGACTTTTCCGAAATTAAGGCCATTTTACCGGAGCCCCCGGCTACGATAAAAGGAAAGTGTACTTCATGCATAAGCCGTGGTACCATTAGCAGATCATCATTGGAGTCGCGCATCCGCTTCTTGCCGAGCTCGATGCTCGCCATACCGGCGCTCTGAAGTCCTCCGGGCATCGCAGTTGCCGGTACTCCTGACACTCCGCCAGCCAACGCGCCCATTCCCGTCACGTTCGTCGGCATCGTCGCCGTCTGCATTTTGCGTTTTGTTTCCGCATT